ACAATGAAGCCTCTTTTCAAAAAAAAAAAAATGGTAATCATTTTAGTGCCGGTGGTATTAAGGGAATTCACAATGTAATTATGATTAATTAATTTAGTTTCAAAAGTGGACGTAGAAACAGAACTTTCCTGTCAAAAAGAGAGAAAGTGAAGAAGAATCAGAACAGAAGAGCAGGGAATCTCTCAATTAAACTTGAATGAATGATGTGTCCCAAGTCGACAAATCCTGTGGGCCTCTCAATTGCCACATGGCCAGAATTTGTAGCTACATTTTTGTCGCCTCGAGAGACCTCCTTTTTCTACATAAATTCTCCGCCCTCCACCCATCCGCCACGTGTCCACCGTCTTTTAAACGGACCCCGTCAACCCAGCACGACCCGTACAAAAACCGTGGAAAATTTTACTCAATTCGCGTGCGGCATACGCTCCAGTAATTCACGCCAATCCTCGGCCCGTATGATTAGATCGACACACCGAGTTAAGTAATCGGAAGTGTGATGCACGCGGCAATGGAGAGACTGAGGGAGGAAGAAAAAGTAAAAGGTCAATGTGCACGGAAAACCAGCAAAGACGGAGACGGGTCTTGGTGTCTGGGAAGAAAGGCCGTTTCCAAGCGCGCGGTTTTCAGTTGAATTTTAACCTTTTTCACCATTGGGTAAAAATGGAGCAGCACTTTAAACACTGTAACAAAGTTTGATGTGAAAAAATGGCAGGTACTACTAGTTGTCTACAAGTATTTATTTTATTTTAAATATTATTTTTCTTTGTGGCACTGACTGAAGAAGTACCTATTAATTTCTTTCTTGGAGTACGCATTTATGTAGGAGTGTCTCATTTTCCACTTTTTTCAGTGTCTGCCCAACACACACCATGAAATTGCTCCTCCATGTATAATCTATAAATCTCTCTAAATAAAGCGTTGTCCAGTATGAATATGATTCATCTTTTAGTTCGACATCTCTCTCAATTTCATTCTCACTATTCATTAAACGTAGAATTTATGAATAGAAATCACTCCCGTGTGCGGGTGGACAATTCATCGTTGTAGTGCTTATAACTCGAATAATATTGAATGGGATTTAACTGTTTTGGTTTGATTTGGTTTCGGTTTTGATGGAATTGAATTTCTGACTTACTGCAATTCAAATTCTATTATGAATACGTGTTGGTACTAGCGTGGGTTGTTGTTGGTCAATAAATTGCACCCATCTTTGTACACAATTGACCCCCCCAGAAAAATAGAGTACATTACTTCAGACATTTTTCAGTATGGGCAGTTCAAGTTGGTCCCTACGCTTTCAAGACAAATTTTTATCAATTATTTTAATTTATTGCTTTTTGTTAGATTTGATGTTGGGTTTTAATTCTTGCCGCTGAAAAAAAAAGTGGGTTGCTTTTGTTTTTGATTGCTTTGCTGCTGCAGACAATATTGCTCATTGATTGCAATTTGCATTGAGAAGACTGAGGAATATGTTATAGGCTTAGGGGAGCCCACGTCTATAGGTTTTGCCCTCACGAACCACTTTGTTTATTTCCATTTTGGTGCAACCACACAAACCAAAGATTCGTGAAGAACTTGAGCAAAACTAAATTTTATTTATTTATTTGTGTAGGCAAAATCATTAGCAGCAAGAGCAAAGAAAACTTTATATCAATCAGATGTTCAACTTCCCTTTTTTTCTTTCACCAGCAATGAGTATCAATCACATCTCACTTCTTTTCTCTTTATCCAGTACGACAAAAACAGAAATGAATTTAAAAAAACACTAAGCGACACTGTTGATTTTCTCCTCTACTTTTTTCTTTCCTTCCACTGGACACTTCACTGATTTTATCTCATTTTTTATTCAAAAAGAATTGTCAACAAATTTGATGTCAAACCAACTTGGCGCCTCCAAATGGATCAGCTCAGCTCATCCTACAAAAATCAACAGTGGTTAGTTATGATTCTTATGAATGGATAAGTTTAGGGTTCTTTTTTACAGGTCATGGAAACCAAACAAAAGTTTTGTAATTTAATTCTTAATCTTACCTCATTACCAAGATCACTACTAAAAACCGTTGTGCCAGAAAGTTCCAAGTTTGCCAATTGGGATGAAAAGAATTGAAACCTGCAAACATGTGGGGTTAAAAGTTATCAACAGAATCACATAAGTTTTGTACCTGCTGTGTGATGAGGGAAGGTATGGAGAGAATTGGACAAAAGAATGTAGGAAGAAGAATTGCAGCGAAACTGAGAAAGGGAAAGAAAGTGAGAGGCCAACCTTCTTTTGGATTATGGGCAACAGACTGTCTTTATCACCATCATGGCAGAATTTTCTTTGCAGCAGTGCCTACTTGCAAATTGGGGACCAAAGATTCACTGATAAGAGCAAGAACAAGACAAAGAAATCTTCTCAACAATAAACTTTAATGGGAAAGAAGACGTGTTTTATGGCCATGCTTTCAAAAACTATGCACAGTACATATTCTATCTTTGTATGAAGTCAACCGAGCCTTAATGGACTAAAGAATCCAACTTTTTCATGACAGCAACATTATTTTATATGGTAGTAATGACAAAAGATCATTTTTAATATGAGGAAACAAGGCAAAATTTACCTGACTGATCTAGGAGGTCAAATGGGGTTGGAATTCCAGGAAAAATTTGTATTTCACTAATAGCATTTTTGTATCTGTAGGAATTCCTGTTTACAGCCCGTGAAAATTTGATTTAGTTATAGATAAATTAAACCACAAAAATATGCAATGAATGGAGAAGACACAGGCGCATTCCACATTTTAGAATATTACCTGATGTAATGTAACAGTGCTTTAAATTCTGCGTCAGTTGTCCTGAGCTGAGCATACTGGACAGAAAGGGAAGGCCAGCCTTCAATAGAAATTGAGGTCAGTGTATCTGTATCCATGCGAGTGTGGTAACAGCTCCTCTACCTCAATTCTGGAACTGGAACAACTCATGCTTTTCTTGATTCGGTTACGGTTAATAGACTCAACCTCGGCCAGAAATACGCTGTAAACTGGCCTATGATCTGAGAACCTTGACTCCCCACGTACATAAGACAATTGATAAATGCCTCTTCCGTGCCATAATATACGATCACACCTTCACACACAGATAGCAAGTTTACATTTTCATATAATCGCAAAAACTAAATGCTTTCATAGTTATGTTACAATAAAATGCCTGATAACTTTTCCATTTTCACAGATGTATGAGGTTTGTTCTTACCATGCTGGAGTTCTTCGCTTCTCCTTGGTGTGCCTATCATCACCTGCATACCTATCTGAATTATTTAAATATTTGTATGTCGGAGGGAAATATATCTTTCCTTCACTCCATCCCTCAAAGACACGTCCTCGTCTTTGCTCTATCCTCAGCTGAGAGTATAAACCATATAAATTTCAGATACAAGAAATTCTAAAGTCAAATAAAGACCATAACTCTTTTTTCTTTCCTTTTCTTTTTGGCCCCAAGGGGGAACACAAGAATAACACATTTGAAAGAAAAGCACAATGCTTGTAGGGGAATAGGTAACATGCCTGGTCATTCTCTAACAATGCTCTCCAGTTGCGCATCTCAACAAGAGCTTTTGCAGAGCGGTAGGAAAGGGCAATGCGGTAATTTAAATCCCCAAGCCAAATGATTCGACTGCAGAAGGAAAATAAGATTTCAAACTTTTGCACTGTAAGGCAAGTTTCTTAACAGAATTTCAACTTCAATAATCCAAGAGAAAGAACAGCGAGACTAGACAAGCATATAAAAGACTTACAGAAAGCAAATATTACAAAAATTGGACAAAGGGGGGACTTACTCATGCTCTAGTATTGTCTGAGGAGAGTTTTCATCTCCCATGCCATGAACCCTGGGAAACCTTGTCTTCCTCAGGATCTCCATGACATCAGAATTTCTTCGAAGTTCATCTCCTTCCTTCTGGCCAGAGGTCAGATGACTACAGATGAAGCAAAAGCTTGTTTGGTGCAAAGACATGCTAATGGAAATTGAACCCTGGAAAACTCAAAGAGAATAAGATTCTGTGTTTTCTTCATCTTGCTCTGAAGTTAGACATATATTAGAAAGATTTGTACCTTATTTCCAAGATAGCCCATTAATCCTCTTCCAACACAAGACACTTTCATATTGCGGACATCATCTCTAAGATCCCTTTTTACCCATACTGTCAAAAATATACCAACCATTTGTTTGCTGGCAACCAAGCAGTATCTTGAGTTCCCTGGCTGTCTATCTCTATCCTCCAATGAGAAAGACCCACTGTTGGACATTGGTGAATACTGTGTGACAACAGGTGAATCACCAGGTCCATTCTCATCGTCAGAGGAACCCCATCTGTAATTGGGGTCATAATCACTTGGTCTGTGCCCAAACATAACCCGATCACAAACACTGAATCGTCGATCAAGTCGGGGTTGCGGCATTGACATGTCATTGTCCATTCTCATGCTGCGGCTCAAGGACTGAAAGGACCTGCGGTGAAAGAAAGAGGAAGCCTTCTGCTTTGTTGATCCTTCAAAGTCTGCATCTAATTCTACAATTGGATCAGGAATTGGTGAAGGTGTATGGCAACCACCACTCGTTCCAGGAAGATTATTTAGAGTCTTCCTTATAAGAGCTAGCCACTTTTTAGCTGGGCCGTTATCTTCTGTGCCCAAAACATTGCCAGCATTCAAAGGAACTATTTCTTGAAACCTGGAAACCAAAAGGATTGAGGAGGATTTTGTTACCACAACAAATGTTGCATATATTGGAGAGAACATATCTTGATCTGCAGAACATACCCAAGAACATAAATATCAGCAGGAGGAGAGGTGTGGAGCCAATCTTCAAGATTCAGACAACTTGGAGGAGATTTTCCAGCTACATTCCATGTAGCTACAAAGATCCTGTGCCCACACGGAAAGGAAAATACAAATAAAACCAACTGTTGCAGGGAAACCCAATACATATTACATAGAAGAGAAGGCTTCACCGAAAAAATTTGGTCTAAATCTTTTCATCCAGAAAGAAAAAGTGCTTACAAGACAATGCTTAAGAAAGACATACCTATAATTGTGTACATCTGTAACTTGTGATGCGTCCATGTCAATCTTACCCCTTCGGACTCTATCAGAGTGCCTCTTACTTAATCTTTCTGTACATTTAGTTGGAGTTTCAGAGGGATTAGTCCAAATTAAAAATTGGCTAGAAATTAGACGACTTTGAAAAAGCATAATTTTATTTTTTTGTTTGATGCTATACTAATGGGGGTTAAGAATGGTGTGGTCCAAAGCAATACTGCTCTGCCTGATACTGAACCTGTTTTGCTTTTCTTGATTGTGCATGCCTCCCTCTCTGAATAGGTGTTCCTCCACTCTTCATCACCACCTGAAAAAGAAAACCCAAAAAGTTGTTAAAGCTGCGCTCTTTCCACTGTTAATGAATCAAGAGCACACATTCAAACACCACAAGAAAACAAAAATAAAACAATCAGAACATTTCAAATTATATATATAAAAAAATTAAATAAAAGAAAGAATTTCAGAAAGAGGAATAAATAGAAAACAAAGATCTTGAACTGCAAATAGAGATAGAAGCAGCAGACCCCGTTCAAACCAAAGTTTTTGTACCAAACTAGCAGTGATGCAGTGTAGAACAATGGTAGTGTGTATCAGGGTATAGAAGAATCTAAAACAGTTCAGCTAACAAGTTGCAGAGAAATCCCATTTCTGATCTTGCTAAAAAATCCAAGATTGCCTAATCCAGAATCCCAAATTGACACCCAAATCATGCATGTATATGAGACCAAGAGATAGGCCAATGACCTCCATAAACGGCGTCGTCTGCGTCAAAGTCCTCGGCTTTGCTCTTAATATTGAACCACTTCTTGACCAGTGTCCTGGGCCATGAAAGCTTCACCAAGAACACAGAGTCAGCAATCTTAGAACAAAAATGCACACAAAATCAGACAAGTTCTGGCATTTAATCAAACCTTGCTTTTCTTGGAATTCCCATCTCTCATTGTTTCACTGCTTCATAAGGCTATCTGGATTTACAGAAATAATGGCCAATTTCAGCTCCGTGTGACCAACACTTTCTATTTCCTTTTACAAATGAATGCGGAGGAAGAAGAAGAATATGAACAAAATTAAAACTGAGGAACCAAAAGAAACCAAGACACAGGTTCAAGCTCTGGTTTTGTGCTAAAAACAATGGGAAAAGCCCACTGATTTTCTTAGGAGAAGAACAGAACAAATGGGTAATCCCCTGTTTTCTCAAGTAATGAAGAAAAACCAAGTGGGAGAACAAGGAAAAGTCCAGTGCCTGGGCATTTTAGTTTCCGAGCTTCCAAACACAAGGTAAAAATCCAAAATACCCAGTTGGGTTCTCTTTGCACTTCCCTCTTCTGTGTTTGGCAGAGAGAAGAAACAGAGGAAACTCAAACGGAAAGATACAGAAAAGGACAGCCCTCTATTGGTAGAAGACTATGATGAGATCCTGAGGAAACAAGAAGACAATGCAGGATTCATAGAGAGAGAGAGAGAGAGAGAGAGAGAGAGAGAGAGAGTGAGAGAGAGTGTGTGTGTGTGTGTGTGTGTTTATGTGTTTGTGTGTGGTGTTGTCTCTGGTAAAAAAAAACCTCGTTATGGGTACAGAGCAAAGTATCGAATTTGAAGAGAGAATAAAGTGAGTGTATAAGTGAGGAAGGAGGAGAGAGAGCTTGGCTCTCTGTGTCTGAGGCTTTTTACCCCAAAATCCAAGGCCAGGCCAGCCCTTTGCTTGGGGACTTGGGGAGGGGCACTGAGGGCTTTGGATTTTATTGGTCACCCACTCACACCCAACCCAACACTCTCTCCCTCTCTCTCTCACTAGAAACCCTTTCTCTCTCTAAAATTTCTGCCCACGGTCAGCAAAGTTAGGTTTGATCTAATGCCCAAGCAGCAGCAGGACTTGTACCCACTCCTCCATTTGGTCTTCTACCAGTTAAAAAAAAAAGCAGTTAAAAGAACTCCTGCAAAAATTTAAAATTTTAAAAAAATAAAAAAAGGAATATTGCATTTGGGAGTTTGTTTCCCTTTCTGTGTTTCTTCTTTGAAATATATATATTTTTTCTGATTTTAATCTTTTGGTATGTGACAGAGTGACTCGGTATACTTGGTTTGGTAAACCTTTAAAAATATGTGATTGTGTTTTGCAGATTTGCTTGGAATGTTTGGTGGAAATATTTTGTATAGGTCAAGATTGTTCCCCCCCAATGTGAGTTTTTGTGCTTCCTTTGAGGCATCCATAGCCATAGGTTTTTATAGGGTTTCATAGATGGGATTTTTGTATAAGCAAAAGGGCTGTTTCTCCAACGGATCTTCATTGCCGAGGGGAGATTGGGAGAATGTTTGTGGTCCAACTTAAGAAGCATTGCATGTATCTCCTCAAAACCTTCAATGGTTGCTTTTGAGCTCAACAATATGTTACTCTGTTATGCAAAATTGAGTCTTTTTTTACTCCATCAATACTTGTGTCCATGAGGACCAAGGCAATTGCCCCAATTTTTGGTGTCTCAGTTTTGGTAATTTCAATTTGCAATTTGCTATACATGGGATAAACGTAGAATTTGTGTCTGGGAAAATGCCCTTGTCTATAAGATACTTGTTTACACAAACACAGGATTGGTAGGATCTGGTTTTTTAGGGGCCAATTGTTTATGATTTTCATTGAAATCAAGCCCTATGCATTTTTGCAGACCACACAACCAGGAAGCACAAATCACACAAGTAAAAAGACAAAGCCAAACCATTTTCACATCTCTCAGATTACACAAAGATAGGATCTTGTTAGGCCATTGAGGGGGTCCCTAATCCTAGCTTAACTCAATCCTAAATCCTAAACCCACGCGATCTCCTAGGCTTTCGCGCGTTAAGTATCTAATTATAATTGTTTAATACCTAGCTTGAACAAAGTAATTTCTTGGATTAAGCTCTCCTGGCTTGATTTCTTTAATTGACTAATCTTAATCACACATGCTACATGTGGAAGACTGTGTCTGCTTCCCTTATCATACTCTTAATTGTTCATATTTCAAGGCTCTTTGCAGTCAATTAGCATATTCAAGGATTAATTTACTAAGCTATACAGGCAAATTCCAAATGGGAATCCCTTACAAACCCCATTCAATCCACTTCCCTAGTGAAGCTTCCACTACCATCACAGCCAACCAGTCCCCAATATATGTTGTCAAAGACTTGTCTAAAGACATATAGCTGTCATACGAAAGTCTCCCTTTTACAACAATGTTGCATTTGGCATATTGACATGTTCAATGCATACATATATGTGGTTCACCGTCAAACTCAACACCTCTGCTAATCTTCGATTGTACCACAAAGTTAACAAATTACGAACGATCAACTTTCATCATATATAATTCCGATGATGAAAACATTTTTCTTAGGCAAGTAGAGCACATATATAATTCACTCTGGTGACTGTAGGACCCTGAGTTTGGCTAATGCATGTCACAATGGCAGCACCCTGGGATTGGTACAATGGCATGAGAAGGAGTAATGCCAAATTTATGAAAGAGTTATGGGCTAAAGGCCATAAGAAAGGACATGCTACCCTACAAACTCGATCAAATGCTCTCTTTTTTACTAGTGAGGACTGTTTCCACACAAATTTGTTTATCAAAGTGGGATCTTAGAGGACACCATATAATTGGATTCAGTTCATGATATTATGAATGTAATATATGATTCCCCTATCTCCTTTATTGTACAGGACTTGTACTTATCCATTAGCAAAATGCCACGTGGGACATCAACTGCAACTTCATATTATTAGAGAAAACTTGGTCAAATTTTACATCAAAAAATCGATACCAAGGAATCTCTCTCCCTCAATCTGATGTCCCACCATCAATCTCCCCAGTTTTTGAAAATTTGGTTACTTTGGCAAATACCAAAGAAATAGATCAACTTGTGATTCATATTTTTACTATATTTTCTTCAATGATGAAATGCACGAGGTCAAAAGTTTAACTCTAATCGTGAATATAAAATAAATGCTCTACTGTTGAAGTTATAAGTCATCCACAAGAAGTAACTTCTCAAAAATACTAAAGAAACACAAAAGAAGTAATTTCTCATCTATAAAATAAATGGATATTGGTTTTAACTCTAAAGAAAGAACACAGTATTTCAACTGGTGTTAGGATCATGAAGGAAAAAAAAATCATAGACAGACTAACAACGAGGCAGTCAAAGGATGATCTTTGATTTGTACTTTGGGCAAAGTATCTTCTTCTCTTAGTGAGAACATGATTTTTCGTTCGGTTTCTTTTGCTTTATCAGCTTTAGAAACCTCTTCTTAAACCATCCCCTCTTCTCTTTTGCCCAGACAGTTTTTTTCTCATAACCAAGTTCCAAATTTAAGGTGTCAATTTTGGCTTTTTTTCTTTTTTTTCTTTTTGGGTATCTTTGTGATGGGCTTCGTTGTTCTATTCTATGGTCGTTTTTTTCCCTCCATCTGCCGAAAAAGAAAGAGGCATTTCCCAAAGCACCTCTGGGTTTGGGCCTCAAGTACTCGGTGATGTGGCTTCTGATGTAGACTCTCTGTCCTTCCATTCTCCGACATGTATGTGTATGTATACAGTATATGACTACATAAACGTATTTCAAAAGTCACTGGTTTTTATACTTAAAAAGAAAAATTTGCCCAAGTATAAAGGCTTGAAGCCCAACCCTAAGCTTTGACATGGAGGAGGATTTTATGGGCCCAATTTATATCATTCAACATTTTTTTACTAACAGAGGGGAGGACCCTTTGCCAATTTAACAGTTACAAGAGTGACTTATGGTTCTTGTAGTATAACATTCCCGAGGGATGCCCATTAAATATTGAGTTTTTCTATTTAAACCCCGCATTTCTCTTTGTTCACCCCATATTCTAAGTTCACCCCAATTCTAATTCAAATTTTCACAATTACTAAGTAAACCCCACTATCTTCCCAAACTACCCCTAAATACACACCCATGAAAAAAAATAATTAAAAAAAACTCATCAGCCTCACACCCCACACCCCACTTTCTCCTTCTGTGTGGAGTTATGTCAAGCAGAAGCAGCCGGAACCCTTCTTGGGTGTTTGGTGCGGCAGGAGTTTTAGGCACCTCAGTCTTTTCTTGGTCCATCTCTTCTGAAACGGCTCTCCTCATTCTTTTCTTGGGGTTCCATCAATTTCCACAGCCACACTAGAATCAAGACACCAAATTTTTATCTCAGTCGTCTAGAACCAAATGAAAACAAATTGCATAATTAACACTATGAATTTAAGCACCTAAGTTAGTAATTACTAGAATCCTTAAGAACGTAAATAAAATCAAAACTAATGCAACAAGAAAAAATAAAAAAAAATACTTAACGTCACCTCTAAAAACCCATTTGCACAAATACAATTAACAATCACCAAGAACCCAGATGATATGAACCCCAAAGAAAAGGAAAATGCAACCAAAACTTGAAGAAATACTGAACCAACTACTGAGGATCCTTTCAAATAAAAACCATAAAGAATAATAAATAACCCAGATAGGAGCAACTTCAGGGAAACAATTATAAATTCAGAAAAGACAAATAAAAAAATTACTCTCCCTGAAAAAAAAGAAGACAAGTAGTCAAGAAGATAATAGCGATAGAATTACAAGTGGGTATCTTTATGTCTTCGTGAATGACAAATGAAGAGCAGTCATCATGAGAGAGCTCGATGATTGCCTAGACTTTGCAGGCAGTGGTTTCTGTTTTTTTGTTGTTGATAGCAGTGAATTATGTTCTTAATTTGAGCAATCAGCAACCAAAGAAAAGTATGGGGTTTAAACACAATAATAAGTTGGATGACCTTTTTGTCTTTTTACACAATAATAAATTTTAGGAGCTTAATGATTTAAGTATTGGGGTGAACAAAGAAGAATATGGGGTTTAAATAGAAAAACTCTTTTTTACTAACAGAGGGGAGGACCCTTTGCCAATTTAACAGTTACAAGAGTGACTTATGGTTCTTGTAGTATAACATTCCCAAGGGATGCCCATTAAATATTTCACTCAAAAAAATGTAAACTAGAAGAAATTGACTTGTTGATATTGATGTGAAGTTTTTCACTTTTGGGTGGAAAAACCCACATTGCTTTGTATTAAATTTGCATCCACTTTAGTGTCGTGGAGAAGATCATGTCACTAGTACTGTCTTTGCTTCCCCATTTCATTTCCCTAGCTTTTATCACCATCCATGCTGTTGCTTGTTGCCCATCAAATCTTTGAGGTCTTTGTCTATTATTTCATCATTTCTTCATTTTGTCTTCCTCTCCCAACCTTTTTAATAATGGAAATGGTAGTTCAAGCCATGAAAGAGGCGAGACCATACTTCAACAGATGCGGGAGCAAAGTGGTCTTGTAGATGAGAGAGACTTTCATGCAACTAGGATAGCAATCCTCGGCTAGTAGTGCAATAACATGCGGGATAACTTTTCCATATATCGTTGCATTATTGGCCAGGAATAGCA